AGAACCTTCCACAAATCGGATTTCCTCTCCATTTCCTCCATGTCAGGTAGTCCCGGTGCTGGGACACGTAGGTCATTTGCCCAGTCAATGAGAACCATCCGTTGTCCGTCGAAGAGTGCATGACCTTGACGCATATCGCTGTGGACAACATTATTCTTGTGGGCAGTATCAAGCATTTCTGCTGCTTCGCGCACCTGATCTCAGGGTTAGCTGAGATGATACAATCAAAAGGACAACTACGGCAATACCATGGCTGCATATTTCCTGATATCATGAAACTCTTTATGCTCTCCGGCATCCAATTCATTCGTGAATTCCAAGAAGGTCTTGGGAATGTGCTCGATAGCGAGGACGTCAGCATTCTCGCCCCAAGGAGTTTTCATAGTCTGTGATGTACGTCAATCCGTGAAAACATTGAATAGTTCACTGGGAGCTTGCCGTCTCAGCGAAAAGATACGGAATGCCTTGTCCTTGTAAGTCAGGGAGCTCCTTGTACACCGACTTCATTGCGGCCACTTGGACCGCTGATCGCTTGGAGGCTGGAATAATCTTGATCACCACCCTGCCGTTGAAACGGCTGTCGGAGGGCCTTGCGAGCCACACGTGAGAGTGGTGAGACGGCCCTTCTTGAAGAGGTGTTTCGAAGATGTAAGTGTGAACGTCGTCGAATGGAAGAGATGGGGGAGTTCGACTATCTGGACTTGTCGTTGGTCTGCTGAGGAAGAGAGACACTTGGTACCCCTGTGGAAATTGATTTGGTATCTTGCGCGAGATCAGAGGTAATGGCATTGTGATAGAGGGCATGAACTGAGAGGATCATAGTTTGAGTATAAGTATGGAAAATCATCATCGATTCGGAAGCTTTATCGACGATTAGAGAACCGTAAGAACACGTGGACCCGATTCGACAGCGCGGAGACCGAATGTCCAGGAGGAATGAGGTCGATGAATCTGGGATAGAGACATCGAACGTGTCTTGAAGCGACCTTCAACTTCTGAACGAGTGAATGGTTGGTATAGATAGGGATAGCGAACTTGGTATAGGCATGTTCGACCTCCACACCACGAGTCTCGCCAGATAGGTGAGTACGTTAAAAACCAAAATATATGAGGGGAAACAGACAGATCAATTTTGTGATAAAGAACCAAAAGATCAAAACGTACGATTTGAGCCACCGTCAGCGATTGGATGATGATGGTAAAGGAACAAGAAGCTTCAACCCGTATACGCCGGCAACCTCATTTGATGGCCGGCTGCTTCAGAGCAACGCCGTAACAAAGTGGTGTCTTCGTGAAATAAAGGGCTAGTAGAGATTGGAAAGTGAACCAATGAATGAGTCGCAAAAATGTTTGTTCAAGGTCCACCATTCCGCTACAGGGAATCAAAGACTACCAAGTGGAATCGCGCGACTTCAACGATTGAGACCATGAGAGGCGATAGATGTGGTGTATGTGTAACTTCGTATATAGACTCCAACAAATACAAAGGAGTATGACTATGAGTCTGTGATGATTCTAGCTTGTGACCTTACAGCCTTCAAATAGGTTTTGACTCAATTGACGTCGATAGATATCGATCATCGATCATCAACATTCCGATGCGTGGAATACCCCAAGCTGCTGTCAATTTGAGGTACTTGTAAGTTGCTGTACTCGGCTATCAATAATGCCCGGGAAAAGGCAGCCTAAATTCACAACAATTCATCATGCAGGCAATTAAATTCAGCGTGTTTGAAAGTTCGTGCGAATGCGCTAGTTTCTGCTGACCACATCATCGCGTGGTTCTGAGTATTAAGCGCAATCGATGATGTACTCCTCTCCAGACCCTCGATTACGATGCCATTGCCCCTAATCTCACGCAGAAATCCAACTTACAAGGAAACAGCATTCCGTATCTTTTCGCTGAGACGGTAAGCTCCCAGTGAACTATTCAATGTTTTCACGTAATGATGTACATCACAGACTATGGAAACTCCTTGGTGCGAGAACGCTGATGTCCTTGCCATCGAGTACATTCCCAAGACCTTCTCGGAATTCACGAATGAATTGGACGCAGGAGAGCATAAAGAGTTTCACGATATCGAGAAATACGCAGCCATGGTATGGTCGTAGTCATGGTTTTAATTGTATCATCTCAGCTAACGTCGAGATCAGGTGCGCGAAGCAGCAGAAATGCTCGATATTGCCCACCGAAATAATGTTGTTCACAGTGATATGCATCAACGTCATGCACTGTTCGACGGACAACGGATGGTTCTCATTGACTGGGCAAATTACCTCCGTGTCCCCGTACAAGGACTGCCTGATATGGAGGATGCGTACAAATTTTCCGACTTGTGGGAGGTTCTATTGTGCTTTTTCCAATCCGAGATGCATGATGAAGCAATCAAGAAGTGGATAAAGCTCAATGAAGCAAGCATTATGGCGAAATTGGGTTCTTTTGCCGACTCAGTGTTATCGCCCTGTAGCGAGAAAGACGAACTGTGATTAAAACCACGTGTAATATTTGATCAGTTCAACGTTACCAGAAAAAATGCGCATCAGGTGTAGTGGAGAGGATGAGCATTTGTTCCTCAAACTCGGAATTTATCAATCGTACCTCGCTGCTCCAAAATCAACATTTCAATGCTAATCCAAGGAACCAAATCCGATGGTTCTGAGGACAAATGGAAACTGGCCGCTAGATCAGATGCTATATCGTACACTACGCCACATTGTACTTGCATTTTCATGCCGCGTCCAGAGGACTAAATGATGTACAAGCACAAACGGAAAGTAATCGGTACAACCGAAGCCACTGTATTGAATGCTAAGAGTAATGCCATCTACCTTGAACATAAAGTAGGTCCTCTTCATACACGATTCGTATTCGGGATCTGAATGTGATTCACCCGGAAGGCCTTTGGAATGATACAAACCACGAGAATACAGAGCATATTTTGTGACAGACGAAACTGTAACTATGACCTTGACGATAGACACCGTGAATTTTGTTAACTGGTCGAATAAAGAAATATGCAGCCGAAGCCCAATCCTCAGTGCCTATAATCAGACATTGGGATTCCAGTTTAGGCACCTCGACGCCGCGTATCGTGGATGTACCTCAAATTTCAGGAGAGTCATTTGTGTTCAACTCTTTACACGTGATTGGTTTGCTTTATCCAGGGCTACCCAGTACAGAACCGAAAGGTAAACGCCGTGTTGTATTTATTCCTGCCTCTCAAATGGAACGATGTCATTTTGCGAACGGGTAATTACGTGAAAGTCGCGTAGGCGGCGGTTGCCCTAATTAGCGTCGTTCTCGTTTAGTCTAAGCTCAATGTTCTCCCCGTGGAACGTTTATTTTCATTTGTTTATTGATTGAATTTTAGGGTGGTGGAGTGGTGGAGAAAGAGAGATACGAAGGACACCATTATGGAGGCACTGGACGTGGATCCTTTCCTTCCGTTTGATATGCGCGTGGTGATATGATTTGAACATCCGTTATGGTGTAGTGGCTAACATTATCGCCTCTCATAATTTGTGATTTCATGACGCGATAGCCCAGGGTTCGATTCCCTGTAACGGAATGCAGCGCCGTCCCCGAGGCTTTTACGTTTTCTCCCTTATCTGGTATAGCCATTCAACTCTACGGCATAGTTGCCGGCGGACACCGAATTGAAACTTCTTTCGTTTACCATCACCATCCAACCGCCGACGGTGACTCGACATCGTACGTTTCTCTTTTTTTCCCTTCCTCTGCTACGACCTTGATTAGTCTTTTCCTCCTCAGAAATCTCCTTTCCATCGAGCTCCCTATTCAACGACTCCAACTATCCAAGATCAACTTCCTCTCACGTTCGATGGCTCTCTCAGATGCTCATCAGCCTCGTTCCCGCTGAGGACCCTGTCGCTGCTCCTTGAAATTGAATCTCCTTACGGCTCTCTAATCGACGTCGATGCCGCTGCCGATACCAGCCTCGAATGGATGAGGGCTGTGATGGTAGTGTGGGTCAGGACAAATAAGAAGGGATTGGTACGTCCATATTAACCATTGCTTCGTTCTATTTGTGATACTGACTACTACGGAAGGTCTATAGCCTGGCTTTGGATCCAGTCCTTTTACCCCTCAACCACATCCAGGCCGCTAGGTTACGCTCACTTCGTATCAGACAGAAGGGGAACAATCATGTCGTTTTCCGTATACCCCTCGGTTGTACCAGGGAGACCGTGGAGTGATGGTAGCAGCATGGGCGTGTGGGTAAAGGTCAGGAGGGTGGGTGTATTCGGAGGGCACAGAAGGTATGTCGACTGTTTACCTCCCCCCATCGACCATGGTCTAATGTCGTTCCCATTCAGTACTCATCGCACGCGCACCTTTCTACTCATTTCTAGTCCTGTTGATACTGAACACAGATACCTTTGTAAGGTACGTCAACCGTTGGCTGCCATGATACAAGACTGATGGATATCGTTCTCTTTTCAGCCCAAAAACAGAGCTACATTATTGAAGATCCGCCCAACATGAACACGCTTGCGCTCCACCCACGTCGGCTAGGCGACCCCTACGCTCTCGAGAGTAACAGGCTGATCCATTTGTCGGGATAGCATGGCGTAAAGTGACTAGGAAGAGTTACATCGTTCGCTTGGTTCAATCGTGCGTTTCTTGGAACGAACTGCTGCGCTTGGGTGTTTGCCCTTTAATATCTCTTCCATGATACAGGAACGACCGATTATCGTTACGTTGGAGTATTGAAGATTCACTCACACAGCCTGCTACACGTCCTCAATGCGCTCAAGTCTACATCTGGCTGACAAACCTGCGCTTGCAAGGATACTTTGCCTATTGCCTTCAAGGATCGGAAGAGTGGCAATGGAGGCGCAGGTCGACGTTAAGAAGAGCAAGGAAGGCAAGTTCGTTCGCTCCCTTTGATTGTGCATTTGCAAGCTTGCCGTCTCCCACAGCTTTATCGCAAGGAAGAAATCGGTGAGTATATTGCCTGTAGCTCCGCCGTGGGCAGTCCAATGTGGTGTAGAGGCTAACATTGCTGTCTTTCATAAGGCTCTTCACGTGGTATTCACAGCAGCCCGGGGTTCGATTCCCCGCATTGGAATAACTCTCATTTGGTCAGCATTTTGAGCGGCCTATTTGATCGTCTCAATGCAGGTGTCGTTTTACCTGGGTATACCGTTTGAACTTGTGGAATGGTATGGGTGATTTTGATTTCTCTTCGATGGACCCGTGACCGTTCTTTCGATTGGATATGTGGCTTCTTATACCGGTCATTGGACGATCCTCGAGTATGCTTTACGAGTAACGCATTCCAATGTGGTTCAATGGCTAATGGTGCTTTCTTGAAACGGCGCTACCAATTATCGGATCACAGCAATTCGGGGTTCGATTCCTCGCATTGGAATTGATAATGGCAAAGCTTTTTACGTAGGAACCAAACCATTGATCTGATTCTTCACTAACGATAGTCTCGAGTTGTTTTTTTCTGAGAGCGTTCTCCCCATGCCTGAACTGTCGCTCTATTCGTTCGTCGAAAGATTGAACTACGCTATGAGCACCGTTATGTGAGAGCCTGTATTGCTACCCATCTTGACGGGTGTCAAACTACGAAGGTATAGCTTAATAGACCGTGTCCTGCATCAGTCCCAGTAAAAATAGGCTGGCAGAAGCTTCGCAGACCTAGAACGCACACGGGAATGGTCCGTCGATGGGAAAGCACGAGGTTGGTAGCACTCAATGGTTTGGAATTCTCAATCACTCCTGACCACGCGGAGAGCAGATTTTTGCAGATAGATCCGCAAGAAATGTAAGTGATGTCTAATGGAAGCTCGTCGGCTCTGAAGCGACATAATGGGCGCTGTGATGCATAGGAATTCGATTTGAAAAAGCACGAGCGCTGAAGCTTCATTGTCAGCTCCGTACATAGAATACAGGATCCATGAAGCTTTGAACTCTCCTGAACGAATCATCGAGGAAAAGTATATATTTTCAATGGAAGTTTCAGGTACGATACTGTAGATCCCTGCTAAATCGCAATAACGGTGGGGAGATCTGTCGTTGAATACGCATGCTCATGTCTCAAATTCCACTGCAGACAATACACGACATCGATCCGACTAGCACGGTAGTACGTGCCGCCCATGGAAGAAGCGAGTAGTCGCTGCTTGCTTGAGAATCAAACCTTCACATAATTTATGGCCCCTATCATGGAAAGTCGCTTTTTAGAACGCTCATACGACGGCTCCATATAGGCACGAGATTCTTACTTCACTGGCTTCCACGCATGCGCAACGTAGAAGGAATTTCACATTACTTACTATTTGGTAACTGTCAATGGCGGGAGTACGTATTAATCTTTTCTTTCGGGAGAACGCTCACAATACTTACGGTATTGAACACGTACGTTGACTTTGAAGACGAACAGAAGACGAATGATACAGCGCGGCCGCTCTGAACTGCATAGGTCACAATCGTGATGCTTATGATATTCTCTTTCGAGAACTCAAGGCTGGAAGAAACCATTAACGAGATTAACCACAGCAAACTTACATGACAGAATGAGCGGCACACCAATTCGGTTCGAAAAATTGCGAGCGCTGAATTCACCACTTTCGATGCAACTCTATTTATTTCTGGTATATTCTTCCACTTGCTGGGCTGACTCTGTGAGCATAGTCATGAGGACGTTTTTCTACGAGTTCGACATTCGGATCTCAAAGTACTAGTGAGGTGTATGCTAGTCCCAGGTGCGTCACCGCTGACGGAAAGTAAGATCTCAATGGTCAAATGAATGAGGCTCACTCCAATATTCCATTTCACAAGATCCTAATCATCATACCCAAGTCCCGAATTACCTCTAGATCCACGTCAAGGTTATACGACCAGCGTATAGTTGGAGTTTCTCAAGCGGTATATTGTCTAGTAAACCACCCCGATCATTTCCCCGACACCAATGCAGACAATATACGATCACGGATATCATTTCTTGACAATTTCAATTACAACGAAATGTTCGGGTTGACTACGCCGCACTCTAACTATAGCTAGTCTGAATATCCCAAAAAGTAACTCATCCAGAGCTGTAGATTACGGTACAGCACTGATTTGAGCTCCATGCTCCTCGGTTCGCACCCTAGCTAAACTTAGAGCCCTGCCAGGTATAAAAGAAGTAGTAAAGCAGTCAGAGAAACATATCAAACTCGCATTCTGTAAACTCACTCACAATGCACTTCCCAACTGCTACTATCGCTGCTACCATCCTTGCAGTCACTTCTCTCGTTGCTGCAGGTACGAAGACTCGCACAGATTTCTCTTGCATTGGATAATGACTCATTCGACTATCTGTTCAGGCGGTCCAGAAATCTGCACAAAGAACAAGGACGGCTCTGGTGGTACAGATTACCAAGTCACCAAAGACTGCTGCGCTGCTGTCAAGCATAAGGCGTACTTCAACGAGGTTGCGAAGCAATGCTGGCCTTACGCTGGTCCCGCTGGAAACAGCGTCGATACCGGCGAAATGGTCAAGTGTTGCGCTAGCCGTGGCTGTGGCAGCAAAGCCGTCTAAACTTGTAAGGAGTTCTTATCGATGTACCCAGAATCGCTAATAACCTACTTGTCCTAGACGATTGTATGAGCGGTATCTCTGAAGAAGCGGAAACTATACGAAAATCAATAGAAAATAGTGTTACGAGTAACATGATATGTTCAAATATAGTATGTGTGGCGCTGGCTTGTGTTATTTAGGGCCGGGTGTGAGAAAACGTAACTATAAATTTATAACCTGTTGTGCACAATGATTTCATCGTTGAATCATTCAGATCATCGGATCGACGCGAGCTTTCTGATGATTCACTTGCAAGGTGGTGTTTTCGGATGCCCGTAGGGCCCTTACATTACACACATAGACCTGTAACCAGTCCCTAGTGAGTCGTGACGATGACAAGTCATGTACTAGGCTGCTTGCTCGTCGCGTGAGGGGCCAGTTCCAGGTCTATTACACACAGTGAATGCGCTAAGACCAGAGGCACTTACCAAGCATGGTCTGACAATAGATAGACGTAGAATCATGGTCAGTGTCATCCGGTTCAATAAATTCAGCGATCCTCAGGACGAAGATCAGGAGATCCACGGACGGGAAGAAATATTGAAGTATAATTCCCCCTCGAGAAGCCGAGAACCTAGTGCCTAGTGGAATTGAGATTCTTGCATGATATTCTCCATGAGATCAGGATATTACCTGGTACTTCTTAGAATGAGATTCCGAACGAGATGACAATATTCTGATAGTGATCCTTGAATCACAGTATGTAACGATGGGCACCACTCAGATGAATGAGCGGCATGCCAAGTGGGTCGAGGAACTGCGCGGGGCGCTCAATTCACCTTGGTCTGTTTATACCTGTTCAATCTTAATTGTGTAATTAAACAATCTTACTCCAATATTCCGTTCGACAGGATCCCGATCACCGTAACCAGTTCCACATTACCTCTAGATGCACGTAAAGATCATAAGACCAGCATTTAGTTTATGCTTCTCCGGCAGAATACTGTCGAGTTCTTTGTCCCGATCAGTTCCTCGACTCCAACGCAGACATGACACGATCACGGGTATCATTCCAGGTAGTGTGAAGTATAACAAATCGCTCGGGTCACCTACTGCAACGCTCCAACCATAGCCAATTTCAATGTTCCAAAAAGCAACTTTTACCATCTCCCGAGTAAATTGGCTCGAAAAGCGTCAAATCATATCTCATGGCCAAGATGACAAGACGTTCTCCCGCCTTCAATTTCAGCATCTATGACGGTTGACTTTGACGGTAGGCTATCGGGGGTTTTGAATGGTGATACAGCGCGTGGAGAGTCAAGTCAAACTCCGTGCTCCCCGTCCCACATCTTGTCCAATTTGTCAAGTCGTTCAAGTATAAAAGAGGTTGAAGGTAGTCACAAAATGGTATCAAACTAGCACTCTCACAAGACACAATGCACTTCTCAACTACTACTATCGCTGCCACCGTTCTTGCAGTTACTTCCCTTGTTGCTGCAGGTATGGGAATGTTCCTTTTCCTTTGACTATCGACCTATCTAATAACTTTTATAGGTGGTCCAGAAGTCTGTACAAAGAATAAGGACGGCTCTGGTGGTACAGATTACCAAGTCACCAAAGACTGCTGCGCTGCCGTCGATCATAAGGCGTACTTCAATGAGGTTGAGCATGCATGCTGGCCTCAGGCGGGTCCGCTCGGAAACCAGGTTGATACCGGCAAAATGGTCAAGTGTTGCACCAGCCGTGGCTGTGGCAGCAAAGGTGCCTAGACTTGTGAGCTATTACTAGTCATGTTATCAGAATCGCTAATAAGTTGCTTGTCCCAGATTATTGCACGAGCGGTATCTCTGAAATAGAAAATATACGAAAATCAATGGAAAATAGTGTATGAGTAACCTGTTATGTTCAAATATAGTATGCGTCCCCAAAATGGATGGTCAAAGCGAGAGTTGGTCTGTTTAAGCCCGAAGTTGATGGTATCAGTGGCGGTGTGAAAATACCATAACGCGAACAGAACATAAGTTCTGCACAATGATTCCATCGGTGAACAACTCAGAGCATCGCATCGCGGCTCACTTCTCAGCAATTCACTCGCAAGGTGTTCGCATGTCCGTAGGAATATTGAGCGCCTCGAAGCGTATCGTAGATGTAGTACCAACCGCAGGAACGTTACTTGTGTTCAACTCTTTACACGTACTCGGTTTGCTTTATCTAGGGGCACCCAGCACAGAACCGGAAGGTAAACGTTGTGTTATATTTATTCCTTCCTTTCAAACGGAATGATATTTTGCGAATGAGGAAGTACGTGAAAGGTGCGTCGGCAGTTGCCTTAATTAGCGTTGTTCTCGTTTAGTCTAAGTTCACTGTGTAACGTTCGTTCTCATTTGTTGATCGATTCCTCTGTGTGTTCGTTGGTTGAATTATGGGCGGTGGAATGGAGAAAGAGAGATACGAAGGAGACCGTTATGGAGGCACTGAGGTAAAAATGACGTGAAACCTTTCCTGCCGTATGATATCGAGTGAGCGTGAGGTGATACGATTGCATAAGATCCTGCTCCATCCGTTATGGTGTAGTGGCTAACATTATCGCCTCTCATGGTTTTGATTTATTATTTCATGACGCGATAGCCCAGGGTTCGATTCCCTGTAACGGAATAGGGTAGACTCGTGCCCATTCCCGTTCGGTCTCGTACTCGGGCTTAATTTCTTATCGGAGTAACTCTTTGATGATGAAAAGGAGGATGACGGCAGGGAAAGGTACGAGACCGAAGGGACTGGTCCAAACCGGGGCCATTTTGGCAGGCCCTGCCAAACGTGAGTTTGGACTTAGTGAAATCAGCGTGTTTCATCAATGAAGCAAATACAAAAATCTAAATACTGGCGTCCCTCCCCAGAATACAGCCAAAAAACTAATATGACCTGTTAGACAAACATGAGACGAGTCAGGAAAGTCATATAGAAACTAAGAAAACCAGAATGGTACCGTACCACGCAAGATCTTGGCTCTAGAAGCACGAAAATCTGGTCATGCCAGGTCATCTCCCCACATAACCTCAAGTGACATACCTTAATGGGTAGAAGATAACCTCCGTAGACAAGAGAAATGGCCTGTACACTGGTAGGTAACCTAACGATGCAGCAATTGAGGATTTTGGGTGTCATAAGCCATGTAGCCGCGTCTTTTGGGAGCAGGACAGCGAATCCAAGTGCTCCAAGAGGTAATTTGGACGACAAAGACACCATAGTCAAGTCCTGAGGTGACGAAGTTTTCACATGGTGTATCTGTGACGGTTTGTAGGAGTTTAAAAGTCCAGAACGATAGGTGAGGTACAGAAATCGGGCTCGACAACGTTCCGGTGAAGTCTAAAACGTCCTAAAACGATGAATAGCATTGTAAGCGTCAACTGCGAGTGATATATATTACGCACCTATAACCTTCAATACCCAATACCAGCACCAGAGACTTCATCGTGACCGAAACCATGAAATTTTCGACCATTTTAATGCCATTTCCGCAGTATAGCATCTCTAGGTCTTTGCGACATGGAATAAAGTCACGCCGGACACTTGAGGAGCGGATTAAAAGCAGGGGATAGGGATCGTCGTGGGGGAACGGAGGAAAGATGTTTTTGATGAGCTTGATTTCACTAAGTCCAAACTCACATTTGGCGGGGCCTGCCAAAATGGCCCCGGTTTGGACCAGCCGCTTCGCAGTCCTGCCTTCTCCCCTCACGTAAATCAAAAAATATCCCCGGACTGCGAACGCGGCTGGAACCGAGCCTAGGAATAGGGTTCCCAATCCTTTTACGTTTCTCCCTTATGCAACTCTACGGCATAGTTGCCGGCGGACACCGAAATGAAGCTTCTTTTTCCTTTACCATCACCATCCAAATGCCGATGGTGACTCGAAATCCTACGTTTCTCGTTTTTTTCTTCCTCTGGTACGACGTTGATTAGTCTGTCTCCCCTCAGCGATCTTGTTTCCCTCGAGCTCACTTATCCACCGACTCAATCGTCCTATACCAACCATCCAGTCGTTCAGAAGGTCACGGTCAATGGCTCACTCCAATCCCATTCTCGCGAAGACCCCGTCGCTGCTTCCTAGAATCTGATCCGCGTGTTCTTACGGTTCTCTAATCGATGTCGGTGCCGTTTCCGATACCAATCTTGGTTGGATGAGGGATGTGGACCTAGGCGAAGAGGGAAAGGTACGTCTACCTTCGCTACTGCTCTGTTCCGACTGTGATTCTGACTGCTACAGAAGATCTACAGTTTCGCTTTGGGTCCAGTCTAATCGCTCCTCAACCGAATCCAAGCACCTCGTTACGGCTAGGAGATCAACATGGATATCAGACAGAAGAGGAACAATCGTGTTGTTTTCCTCATACCCCTCAGTTGGTCTAGGAAGATCCCGGAGTGATTGTAGCAGGGGTATTGGCGTGGGGGGGTAGGTGAATTCGGCGGGTGTTACTGTACACGGAAGGTACGTCGACTGTTTGCCTCCCTCCGTCAATCCTAATCTGATATTGTTTTCATTCTCTTGTCATAGCACGCACACTTTCCTCCTTTTGTTCCTGAGTATGTTGATCTACATCGACCGTTCGCCTCTACAATTCAAGACTGATCGATATCGCTCTCTTTTCAGCCCAAGATAGGACTACAGCATTGAAGATCCGCCCATCATGAACACGTATCCTCAAAGCCTTACGTCGGCTAGGCGAACTCTACGCCCTCAAGAGTACCAGGTCGATCCATTTGTCGGGCTAACACGTCGCAAAGGAACCAGGAAGCGGTACACGGGTCAAATGTGCGTTCCTTGAAACTGATTGTTCCCTTTGCGAGCTTTCCCTCTGAAATCTCTTAAATGATACAGGAACAATCGATTATTGTTAAGTTGGAGTATTGAAGATTTACTCGGATAATCAGCTACAGGTCCTCGACCTGCTCAAATATACATCTCGAAACCTGTAACCTTCAATGTTCATCGGGCAGAAGGGTACGAAGGGAGATCAAGGACATGCTAAGGTGACTCTGCACTCCTTGGAACTAATCTTTCACTTTGCAAAGTCGCCCTCTACCATAGTCCCAAATCCTGGGTTTCCACATCTCTATCGCACGGAAGAAAAGGGTGACTATGGTCTCCCGTAACTCCGTTGTTGACAGTCCCAATGTGGTGGATTGGCTAACGGCTGTCCAAGCGGTGCTGTACACAGCCGCCCGGGTTCGATTCCCAGCATTGGAAATACTGGTCTCAGTGTGTTTGTTCACGTTTTTTGATGCGGGTGTGACAAAGACAGTGGCTGTCGTTTTTGGCTGGATTGTCGGTATTCACCTCACGTCTTTTCACTTGTATTGGCATGAACCTGGAAATGTTATTTCTCCACGGTGTGGGTGCGTTTGATCGAATAACGACGGCTCTTCCCGTTAGACAGCGTCTAGGCGTTGCAATCCAATGTGGTGTAGTGGCTAACATTGCTATCTTTCATAAGAATCTCAATTGTGTATCCACAGCAGCTCGGGGTTCGATTCCCCGCATTGGAATGATGTAACGATATGAAGTGTTGTTTTTGAGGTGTGAGTCGGCGTACCTGTCTTTTTATGTGGTCTATGTACCGAGGGGAGGTAAATGACATTTGGACGTGGTTGATTCTTCTCGTTAATCTGAAAGCATGAGATTATTCGTATTACCGTTGCTTCGACGCGTTATCTACACTTCGGCTCGCAGTAGGGACGATAAGGCTAAGATCGGTGAAGACCCTCAAAGCTGGCTGAGCGTCAGGACTTTGATCAGCAGTTCAGTTTTTCGATTCCAGAGCTATAGCATTTTGGATGGTAATTACTGGAGTATATTCCTCGCGAAAGATGGGAGTTTCGACTTGTATCTTTTTTGCTTAGAGCATTCTTCTCCAGGTCCGAACCGTGGCTCTATTCGTTCGTCCTTGAGCTACGCTATGAGCACCGGGATGTGAGAGCTCTTTATTGCTATTCATGATGGGTGTCGTAGAGGTATGAAGTATGAAAGTACTGTGTTGCTACATTGGATACAATTAGGCATATGAGGAGACAAGATAGCCCCTGCGCGTGGAGCCAAGAATCATTCCGTTATGGTGTAGTGGCTAACATTATCGCCTCTCATGTGTCCCAACCGGTGAACTCGCGCGATAGCCCAGGGTTCGATTCCCTGTAACGGAACATTCAGTTTTCCCTCTGATTTTGCAACTTGGACCTGTTACTCTATTTTCTAATCTCAGTACCTGCTTTTCTCTACACCACGATACCATTGGCACGACGAAGCTTTGTTACGACGTCACTCCGAAGCAGCCGGTGATCAGATCAAGTTGCCGGCGGCGGACACGAGTTGACGCTTCTTCCTTTACCATCACCATCCAAACGCCGACTGTGACGCCAACTGTGACTTGAATCGTACGATTTCTTTTTTTCTGTTCCTTGGCTTCGACGTTGACTGCCTTTTCCCCCTCAGACGTCTTGGTTCCCATGAGCCTACCTATCCACCGACTCTTATGCATATGGCATGTAAGTAGGACATGCCTGCACCGACTTACCCATCTCAATCGTCCTACGCCGACGATTCACTTGTTCAGGATACCAGTTCCCTTCGAGACACGCTCGATGTCTCCATCCGACACTCATCTGTGGCGTTCACTACTGTCGCACCCTGGCACTTCATCTACGCGTTTGGACTTCCGTTTATCGTCAATGCTTGCGATGCCGACTTCGAAGAAATGAGGGTTATGATGCGGGGATGGGTGCAAGTCAAGCAGGTCAAATACAGAGGAAAGGTACGTTTATGTTAACCACTTCTCCGTTCCAGCTGTGGCTGACTAGTTTTGGACTGGCATCACCTTACCGCTACCGAAGATCAACATTTTCGCTCTCTTGACATGTTCTATCACTCCGAAACACGGATACTCCTTCTGCTACCTCCTCCGAGTTCGAAGCTCTTTACCTTGTTGTTTGCCTATCTGGCCTCTCAACAACCTTGAAAAACATGCAGATATTCCTCCCCTCCGTTGATCTAGACCCCGGAGTGATGTTGGCGCACCAGATGCAACCTACTCCAACCCTGAACCGAATCTAGGCCTCTCGTACCAATATGTTTACGCCCATTCAATATCGGACAGAAGGGGAGAAGACACATCGTTTCTTGTATACCCCCGTGGATCTAAGGAGACCACGTAGGGAAGGTAGCAGTGGGGCGTATGGGTGTTTAGGTAGAGCTCAGGAGGAGTGGGTTTACTGGGAGGGTGCCACTATACACGAAAAGTACGTCGACTGTTCGCTTCCCTCCATCGATCATGATCTGATATTCTTCTCGTTCAGTTCTCATCTTCCCTTCGTTCCCAGGCATGTCTATGGTGAATACAGACATCCGTGAACGCCCACTCGTGCTCCATCCACGTGGGCTAGGCGAGGTCTACGCTCTCCGTGATAATGTTTTGTTTATGTTAAGGGATCAGGACAAAGTACGTTAGACTCGTCGCTTTGTTTGCCTTCTCTGATATCAGGACTAGGTTCTCTTCTCGTATGAGCATCGGGTTGTTGAAGATTCCCTCGCCCAACACTCACAGCGGTCAAACCTACACCTGACCGACCCAAAATCCGCGGATCCTTGTAGGAAATGACTGCACAGGCGTAGGAACACCCAGCAGAAGGGAACGTACGTCCATTTGGTGGCTTTGATCGTGCGCTCCAAGTTTACCGCCTTCGATGATCCCAAAATCCTCAGCCTGTTCCACAATCCAATGTGGTGTAGTGGCTAACATTGCTGTCTTTCATAACACTGGCCAAAGACACATACACAGCAGCCCGGGGTTCGATTCCCCGCATTGGAATTGTCTAAAGTCATGGCTTTTTGGATAGGAACTATTCGAGTCCAAAGGTAGTTTCGAATTGTATACTTTGAAGTGCGTTTGTTTGCCTCAGAGCAACCATCGCAAGCTTGAACCATCCTTTCGGTTATGCTATGGAGAACACTGTTATATTATTGATGGGTGTCGGTGCTGAGGGTGTAGAAGTGATTGGTTTTTTTCCTATCTAATCACGATCGCATTATCAGCAGTCTTCGCTTTGAGTATGAACGGACTATGCTTTTGGAGAAGCTACAACCGGGGAATGATGGACCCCTCGTTTGAGAAAGGCAGTAATCCGTTATGGTGTAGTGGCTCACATTATCGCCTCTCATGTCCTGGAATTGTGACGGCGCGATAGCCCAGGGTTCGATTCCCTGTAACGGAATGACAGCTGCCACGACAATTTTTGTCTCCTTGAGTCAACGATCATCGATCATCTTCCATCTGATCATTCCCTGTTTTGCTGGGTTTCACTAGGTTATGTTTTCCTATGAAGTCTTTACCAGTACTACACTACGTCTTCTTTTCGCTTTACTATCACCACCCAAACGCCGAAAGCTCGAATCGTTTTAAAAGCCTCATCAATCGACATTTCTCCCTATTTATGAGTGCTGCTTCCACTTCTATCCCAGAGTGATGACATGCTACGCGGACTTCCTCACCTCAGACATTCTGTACCGACTACAAATGCTCAAAATATCACGGAGCCCATTCCTTGAGGTCGTCAAAACCCGCTCAATGTCTTCCTCCGGAACTCATCAATCCCCTCGATTCATGGAATCGAATCCAGCCGGTCTCATATCCGAGTTGTATTGGAGGTAATCACTTTATCGTGTTTACAGATTGGATTGTCATAGTCATTCGTTCGAAAACCCAGATATGATCTGATATGACCTCGCTATGGCGAGACAACAGCTTGGTTGTACCTTAGTTTCGAAAAGGTACGGCAAACTGGCGTGCCGACAGATTCCGCGAGGAATCTATCCCTTGAGCATCAATGGCAAGATTACATCCTTGACGGATTGGTACCCGTTCCAGGTCTAGTATTATCCTAATGTCTTGCGGTTTCATAAACAACGCAGAAGGGAATCATTGTATCTATTCAATAACAGTCATTAGTACATGCAGAATATTGTTGCGGCGGTTCTCAGACTTGGACCCTTGTTTCAACGACTGTAGTACTGACAGGTGCCGATTCACTTTGTACATGCAGTCGTGCTGACAAGGTTTGAATCTGCGGCCACGACGAAGGCAAGTGTCCACTGAAAGTGATGTTAGAGACGCTGATACCCAATACAATATCTTCGGGGAGACTTTTGACGATGGTAGTCGATTGGAAGTGAGTTTCTATCTGAACGGATCTACCATAGTCGTCTTAGCCAGTAGATACCAGAAGCATGCTACAACAAACATTACGTAGCAGTACTTCCACCAGAAAAGTTATTTTTGATAATCACAAACGCTGACTCAACGTAGTAAGGCGATCGGCGTGTTGTTAGGGCCACTCCTCTTTGGCAGCCGCTAGGATATTTCGAGCTTCGGGGAAACGGAGGCTTGTAGAGACTGTATAATTGGGAGCCCGACTAGAATTATTACGTTAGTGAAGTTCAATGTCAGGAAGACCATGCATCTCTACCTGAGAACACCAGATGACTCGTCGTCAGTAGAATAAGCTTCATTTCTTTTAACCTCTTGTGATGGTTCGATCCTCATAGCCCAGAGAACAATCGCGAATGTAAGCAACGTGTTGGTTGCAGAATGTCTTCCGGGACAAATTCTGGAGACTATACGTGAAAGGAGTGGAATTCTACATCAAATGAGCACTTGCCTCCGACCGAACCCAAATGTGTAATGGCCCTCGTCTTTGGTATCGGGTGGTGATGCTTTGTGTGTTCCATCTTGGTTCAGGAAGCGTTCAGGTCGGAACTCAGATGAATCCGGGCCATACGTTTCGGTATCGTGGTTCATCGCCCTTGGAAAGCTTGTGAGTTAAGGATTGATATCGCCTTCTCAAGGCAGGCTTACAATATGTTCGGTATAATCAGGCATCCTTTTGGAATATGATAGCCTTCGTAGACATCGTCCTTCACATGGTGAGCTGATGACAACTAAGTAGTACGGAGAGTTACCTCCAATGTCGCATGAAAGATATCCATTGGCACTGGTGGTCTCCATCTTAACACCTGACATCCTGTTCAGTATATGGTAAAGCGAAACAAAGTTAGATGAATACCTCTTTAACGATTGCACGCATATAAGGAAGGCTGTCCATGTCAGCTAATGTCGGAATTCTTGAACGCCCGACCACATCATCGAGTTCCTCCTGAGCTCTAATTTGAGCCTCAGGAAAGCGAACCATAGCGAGTATGAGCCACATCAAAGCGCTTGCTGTCTTTTGAAACGTAGAAGAATTAGTCTAAAACAATAGTCGTGATGTCTGTTACCACACCGTTTCATATCCTGCAAGGCTAAAACACCAATCAACACGAACTGATAAGATGATTTTCTCGGCACGTACTACAGCATCGCGCCAAGCCATGAGCATTCTCGATCGTTGAGTCCATGTTGGTCGCGTGTTTCAACAAGTTTGGCACAAAAACTTGGACCCACATCTTGATTGAGTAGCTGGCGTTACGAAGACATGAGTGCGTGGTAGAACAAAGATCAGAATAAACGATGGTACCACTCGTTCCTTGATTGACAGGAAGTAGCCCATAAATATATTATCATGGTGGCTATATATCTTTTTGCTTTCCCTCTTCCACGTCGATACCCATTCAGGAAGATATTCCAGAATAGGTACGTGATTCACCAAGTAGGAGCCAGGAGAAACAGCAGATGCCAAGATATCTACAAATTTTGCCAAAAAGGTGACGACTGGGTCTTGTGCTGACTCTACCAGAGGGGTGTTGTATAGGATAGATGCAGTTAATGACGACGTGAACCTGTTCGAAACGACTCTTCCTCTCAAACTCGCTATGGGCATTGTGCATAGACTTACCGATGACAGTGATCCCGGGACTTCTCTGGGGCTTCTAGCATATCTATTGCAAGCCTGATACCTTCGCGCATTTGGAGCGGATAATAACGAGTGACAGCTCGAATGTTCAACGCTTCATGCGCGGCGCGATGCATTTTGCGCCACCTGCCGATGCTTGAGTATTGCCCCGTAGTTCAATTACAGGTTGCTGACTTACATTGTTCCCAGACCCATGAACACAAGAAGTAATCCACCTGTGAGATATTCCATCATAACCACGCGAGGTCGCTGCGAATAGTTAGCTGCTCGGCGGTCGAGAAGATCTCCAGCTACTTTGGCGGTATTTAATACGATCACGTCTTGATTCGCGAGGCGAAGGTACATGATGTCACCTGGAGACAGATATATAATATTTAACCATCGCGAGCAATAAAAATAAACTGCTTACCATATTCTTTCTTCCACTTCACCAAAGTATGCCAAGGTCGATCCGCGTCCAGCTGAAGAAGGTTTCCAACTAGTGGATAGCCCTTTGGGCCAGGAGGAAGTTTTTTCTTCGGCCTCGCTTGGTAGTATAACAACATGAAAAGAACAGCAAGTGACAAGACCAGTACTGATGGCATGGGTGAGATTGCTGACACGTTCCACTAGTATGTCAAGTGCCTTTATAGAACTTGCAAGCACGCCGGTTTGCCCGCTTCACGCAAAGACGGGATGAATGAACAGATACTCTCGCTGGCAGGATTACTGATGGCTACGTCTCCGCTTAAATACTCAAATTCACGTTGCACTGTAATACGTATTTAAGCGGAAAATGCATGTCGGAGATACTAGAAGGGCTTATCACTGAAAGAGTCAAAGGAGGCGATGTCAGTGATTGATCCTGACTGAATTGAGGATGTAAATAACCTTGTTCGGCATTCAGGAATTTTCCCTATGCCACAGGCTCAGAATTTCCTTTACCTCAGGGAAGCGAGGTCGCGAGGAAAGTTTATATATTGGTGGTCGACTGCCATTTATGGTAAGAATCGAAGATAGATTCGATATCATATGAATCTCACCTGAGAATACCAGATCCCTGATCTTCGGTGCTAGGTAGTTGTTCGGTACCGTCAGCGTCCTTCGCTTTGTCCTTGCTTCCAATGTATGCCAGGGTCGGTTGACGTCCAACTGGAAGATGTTGCCAACGAGTGGGTAACCCTTTGGCCCTGGGGGGAACTTCCTCCATTTTTCAGCATGGAGATGTTGAAAATAAATCCAGAACGCCGCGATTGCACAATAGAAACGTTGCGAGGATCATAGCATGTAACTGGCCTCATGCTCACCATGACACTTAGCAAATCGACAGGTGAAATGACCTGAGTCTGACCACTTACGAGAACTCGAAAATCCAAGAGCGAGCGGAATGAGAGCAGTGCACGGCCTATTTATACCATGTTAATGACATCGAGAAGTTCCCTGGAGAACGGAACTCAAAAACGTGAACACAAAGAGACACAAAGACAACTAGGGAGTACAAGCCCAGAAGCAGAGAAGTTACGTAGCGCTGATGCGATGTCGGAGAGAATTTGAATAGATCGTGTGGAAACAAAGAAAAGCTTCTAAGGTTATGTACAATCCCAGAAGTTTCAGGTGAAATTCGGCTATAGTTCCGACGGCTTTCAAAATTCAACTTACCTTGCCCTACTATGTCGACCGTGAGGCTTTTCGTGTCGGTGTTCCGTTCCTTTCGGAATTGTAGGAAATTCTACCCTTTCGAGGGGCACCCAAATCAGGTCCGTGTGCAGTATGAAAGGAAGCCATTACCTATCGCACCCCTTTCTGTCACCCTGGTGATACGTGATACGATCCTGAGCTTGTAATAATTGTTAGAATAGTTTCCAAAATTTACGCCCTTGCGCTTTTGTTAAACAAAAATGCGGAAAACTCTGGAATGATGGCGTTATTGGCGACCGACTCGGATGCACCATGCCTCCCTAGCTACCAATCGATATCGCCTTTCTGCAACCCACCACGGCCACGTAGAAGCCATACTTTCGTCAACTAGCAAAGGCCGTCAATAACATGTCTTGAATGGTCCAAATGGGGGGATAGCGGAATGCGCACAAGGTGTCGCGATTTGTTTACCATAAACAAAGGCGCAATGGGGTTAAAACTGATAACCATTCTACAATTATTACAAGCGCTGTACGACATACTGGCAATCCTTAACCAATGGAAAACTCGTTTTTGACTGATGATTCCGATACAACACGGAAAATTTCAATATCTGGGTATAATTGGGTGGGATGTTTACCATGCCTCCGTGAGTATCCAATCTAATACCACTATCGTAATGCTCTACTGCGAAGCCATAGAGCTTGGTCCAGTATTCGAATTAGCCAGTCCAGAACACCGATATTGTCCGAGCTCTGTGACTGATTCCAGTCCACGATCGTATAACGTCGTTCGTGTAGGGAGGGAGGCAGAGGAAAGGGTATCCATTCTGTACCATCTAACTTACACATGCTCAGAAGATCAAGCAGCCCATTTATTGAGGTCGTCAAAACACGCTTAATATCTTCCTCCGGAACTCATCGATCTCCTCGATTAATGGGATCAAATCCACCTGATCTCATATCCGCGTTGTACTGGAGGTAATCACTTCGTAATGTCACACCGTATTTAAAGATTGGGTTGCCATAGTCATGCGTTCTAGTATCCAGATATGACCTGGTATGACTTTTCTATGGCGAGACAACAGCCCGGCCGTACCTCACAAACTGGCGTGCCGGCAGATTCCACAAATTATCGCTTGAGGATCAATGGAGTTCCAGGTTTAGTATTATCCAAATGTCTTGCGCTTTCATAAACAAGGCAGAAGGTAATCATTGTATCTATTTTCATAACAGTCATTAGTACATGCAGAATGTTGTTGCGGCGGTTCTCAGACTTAGACCCTCAGGCTTGTTTCGACGACAGTAGTACTGGCGGGTGCCGATTCACTTTGTACATGCAGTCGTGCTGACAAGGTTTGAATCTGGGTCGTCTCACGAATTGACATGACCTCCGTTTCCGCGTCGTTCAAGGCTATGCCCAAGGTAACACGTACAATGATAACCGTTGAAGTCAAGCCCTATGTCATGAATGATTAATTATATGCAGAGTAGCATCACATGGAAACTCACCGCCAGACATGGCCAGACGTGAACCAGGAACTGAACCACGGTGTTCAGAATATCAAATTCCTTGGGCGACATTGAATTTGCTCTCCGATACATCTCACCTCGCAAGATGGTCACCGTGATGAGATATGTCGAGTAGAATATACCCGACTCCAGCCTGCAATGGGTTTATTATTGTCTCGCAATGAAACATGGAACCTACGTCGCAGCAATTATGATCCGGTACATGTTTCTAAGCTTTATCCCAACGGTTTGACGGACTTGGTGGCCAATTGAGAATATCCTGAAAGCTGTACTTGGATTCATATAGAGGTAAAAGGGCACGGGAGCAGGAACCTGACACACCTATGAGTACTGAAAGGAGCATGTTGTCGAGTGCAATGACTCCTGTTACTATGGAGCCCACGAGCAGCCACGACGAAGGCAAGTGTCCACTAAAAGTGATTACAAGCGCGTAAACTATAAATAGATTGAGAGTATGGACTCTAATAGCAAGATGTCCACATACCGTGCGAAGCAAGAATCAGAATAATGGGGAGGACCACAACTTTCCATTGTTTTGTCCAAATGGTATAGCAACGCCAAAGCTATTGAAGGTATGTCAAATCAGTAGGTACCTGAGTTTCAATTGATTCGTGTACCAAGATGGTATCAGCAATTATGCTATAGATTTCCTGGTCAGCCTGTTTGAAATGGTGTAAACGACTGTCGCAGTCACCTGCATAACAATGAAATGCCATTCCTGAAGCTCACGATAAGTGAATTCATGGATCGATTTTGATTGTTCAAGCTGGAACAATAAATGAGATCGTTTTGGTAACCAAATACGATTGGTCTATCACCTCGAACCATTCAAAGCGATATCAAAATACGCTTGTAGGCCGATGAATACCGAAGTAAGCAGGAACAGCAAAGCGTTGGCAAGGAGATGATATTTGTAAGATTGTCTCCTGCGCTGTAGCAGAATGTATGTGCATATGCTGAAGAATGTGGTGTATACACCTTTAGACGGTAAGATATTTGCCAGGCGCAGGAGAAGTCTGATTCACCGTATAGGAAAAAGGACCACTGTTTATGTCAAAGGTAGTCAGTGATAGAGATTTCTGGGGACAGAAGACTGCTACATACCGCACTCAATCCATTTATCATCCGCTCATAACTGAGATCACCCATCCTAAAGAATTGACAAAGGGGGTGGTATCTGCAACAGAGTTTAAATAACTACGCCGACGGTACTCTACATATAACACAGCCAACCGGCGATCAGTTGATCCCTTTGGAGTCAATGATCATCAGTAGTTCCAGATTGCCGCTACCGAAGTCTTGGGGCATGCGATAGTCATTCTAAAATCAGTACTTCTTACCTCTTTCGTTGTCGTTCGGACTTCTCCGTCGATGAATTACAAATTGAAGGCAAAGCGAAGCGTCAGCGTACAGCTGAACGACTCTCGACTACTGCTGACGCTATAGCTATAACGTTATGTAGGCAGTGTTCACCGGGATTATGCAACTATCACCGGCGTTCCTGTGTCCGTTTTCATGGCGCTGAACTGGATCCGAAATGGAAGCTTTGTCTGATGAAGCATTGATATCGGTCTCTGGCTATCGGGTAAACATTTTAAGCTATAGAACCTATTAGGCCACGAGGTAGTTCGGACATTCATAGCCACGGAAGAAGCAATCTGGGAGAATCTTATATTACGTCCACCAAATTGAGACCCCGAGTAATTTCCGGCCCTTTTACTATTACCACCAGCACGAAGGCTACTTCAGCCAACCCCCAATACCTCAATGAAGCTCCAAAGGAGAGAATCGTCTCTAAACATGAGCACTCATCTCGCGTCATACGCTCTCACAGTCTAGAACCTCGTAACGCCGCTCGACAGGCAGTCCTATTGACGTCTACCCCTGCAACAGTCTTCCGACATCATTTTCATGCTCCAATCTCATACCGAGCCCAGCTTTGATCATTCAGACAGTCGAAGGTCTAGGTCCAGCTACACACGTCCACTCAACCAGATGTACGTCACTTTTTACTGATAGGATAGGATACCATTCTTAGCGTGGATCGCTCTCACCATGAGTGTCGTTGCACCCATACCCGACTCACCTTCACACTATGATGATACCACCACTGCACTTCTCGTAACAGGGGTGCTAACGGCGTCGGAATCACGAAGACAATGGCCTAGGGCATGGATAACTTCCAATGCTGTCCTTTTCGATGGCATCATCATCAAAGATGACACCAACCAACAGCTCGATTTCATCAATCTACCCACCCCAGTGTCCAAGCATTTGTGCCTTCTATTACGGAAAGCCAATAGAACCCCTTGGGATTTAGCTAGCCAGGTCCCCGCATCTCATCCCGGTATCTATATAACAAACTCTGTTGATGGTGATTTCGTTGGTGACTTGACATCTTCGCAAGTTTGGGTCCTCCGCCGACAATTTATTATCCCAAACCTAAAGTGCCTGCCAGTTGCAATTCTCAACCGAATCCAAGGCCTTCCGTTGTGCTGGATACCAAAGCTTTCCTATATCGGACGGAAGGGGAACAACCGCGTCATTGTGTGGGTGTACTAGAACTTTGGAAGGGAAGTATGGGCGGCACGGTGTTGGTGTGTCGTCATGACTGGCGGAGACGTCGACTATTTGCTTCCTTGGTATCCTTCTCTGATCGCACGCGCACCTCCTTCTCCTCATTCCTTTCCGTGTTTCTGATGCATACACTCAGGTAAGGCAAGTTGACCGTTGACTTCCATGATACAGGACTGATTGATATCGTTCTGTCCTCAGGTGAAGACAGGATTACAGTATTGAACACCTACCCTCAGAGTCCCGTGCTCAAGCTAGGCGAACGTATGCTCTCAAGGATACTTTCATCGTAAAATGTAAGGAGAGTAATGAGAAGGGCATCAAGGAGTCAGGCAGGGGTAGGTCGTTCAACAGGTTTCATTGTGCGTTTGTTGGAACACATACTTTCACTTGCTGATAACTTTCATGAGTAACGTTAGATCGGATTATCCAAGAAACACTCGCACAACCTGCTAGACGCGCTTAAACGTAAACCCGACTCGGTGAGCCAAGGTTCTCAAGGATACTCCGCAAATTCCTCTCGCGTTCATTAATCGGAAGTGCTGGAATGACCGGGCAGGCGTAAGAAGAGTAATACGAGGAGAAGGTACGTCCATTAGTTTACCTCGCAAGCTCACCTCCAATGACACTGAACCCTGCGTCTTTACACCTCCATCGCACAGTTGAAAAGCCAGGTGCAAGTATTTTTAGTGGCTAAGATTGTTATCTTGCATCGCTGTTTCGAATGGTGGTACACAGCGGCTCGCGGTTCGATTCACCGCATTGGAACAGCCCTTCCTCCCGTTGCCTTGCTTTTTCCTTGTTTAGCTTTGCAAGCGCGGCAGGTGTGTGATAAAGGCTCGTATTTGATTGTCTGTATTCACCTCATGTTCGTGTTCAGGTCCGTTTCGATGGGATGAACTTGGAAACGTTTAAAGAATTGTATGGGAATTTATACGTTTTTGATCCTTTGATAGGTTCTATCGTCATTCAGGAATGCTGACCGTCAGCTTCTCTTGGTAAGATGTATGGCTTTCTTGTTCGGTTTGCTCGATCCATTCATTGGAAGGGCTTGAACATGGCAGCTGTCAATGTGATATATGTTGGGCAATGACAATCCAATGTGGTGTAGTGGCTAACATTGCTGTCTTTCATACGTTGTCGCTATATGTTTGCACAGCAGCCCGGGGTTCGATTCCCAGCATTGGAATAAAGTGTTTGGTATTTTTTGGGAGGAACTAGTTGTAAGCGTCGATTCTTTGGCGCTTTGATGTGGCTCATACTCGCTATGGTTCGCTTTCCTGAAGTTCAAGGTGAAGCTCAAGAGGAATTTGATGATGTGGTCGGGCGTTCAACAATTCCGACATTAACCGACATGGACAACCTTGTATGCGTACAATGGTTAAAAAGGTAATCATCTAAATTTGTTTCTAGGATGGCAAAAGAAGCCTGATTAAACCGAACATAAGTATTGTAAGCCTGCCTTGAGAAGGTAAATCAATCTATTCTTGACACTTACAAATTCCTGACGATTGAGCTCTGACTCGCGATCATCAGATGTAGCGCCCAACGGAAGGGAGTGATAGCCTTTCTGTCGGATCGTAGGTTGGCAGCAATAGTAGGCACCGTGGGGGTGATGTTTATGATAAGTGAGAACACATCTCGGGTAATAGAGCGATAGAAAACTCGAAACAGCTTGAAACTTGAGAGGTATGTGCTGCTGAGGTCTAGATATTTGGTCTGATCAGTCGTCCAAAAACGTCTAATTGTTTCCCCGTGACTACATTACAGTATCCCGCGATAAACTTACCGCTTCGCGTCGCTGTAATAGCTCGCTAGACGCGACGTCTAGGTATGGTAGCTGAGAGCCTTAAATCACCCGCGACCTGGACACAACGAGGTTTTATAACGACGTATGTAGAAGTACTGGGGCAAGATAAGACTAACGAAGGTAAAGAAACGAGCTTGTTTATATAGTAATGGACCGGGTAAACGGATAATAGGAGAGCGGAGATTGTAAGGGATGCGTAAATGCTGAGAAGTAGGCGTAGGCGTTACAGTCGCCCAGTGGATGCATACACACCCATTCATTGTTCGTGCCTGAGTAACAGATGGTTCACTTTGTCGGTCTGTATAGTAACATAAGAGCACACGTCAACCAAAAGGGATGTTATACAGCATAAAGAACTCTACGTCTATTTTGTCTAGCATGATGATTCTTGCATTCGTTCTTCAATATTCGTAGTCTTTCTTCGATAAATCTAGTATTTCTTTCGCTTCGGGGAAGCGGGGTCTGGAAGAACATTTATAGCTTGGCGGGTGACTGTACGTCAATGTCAATAACGTCTTCGTGCAAATAATTCAGTATCTTCGTACCTATTGACTCCCCGACCAACATCATCCAAAACAACTGGCTCAGAATCTTTTTCAGGCTCAAGAACGACCGCCCACAGAACAACTGCAAAGGACAGCACTGCGTTGTTTGCTACATGTCTCCCGGGACAGAGTCTGTCGAATCTATCAATGCAATGTCTATTTTCCATCAGATTTTTTGAACCTAGTCCCAAAGCCAAATGTATAATGCCCCTGATCCTGAGTATCAGGGGGTGCTTTCTTGTGTGTTCCATCCTCATTCAGGTGCCGCTCCGGCCGAAATTCATCTGGTTTGCCACCAAATGTCTCGTTGTCATGATTCATTGCACTGTTGAATAACCATTATGAATGGATAGAGTTCGGATGGTCTGTAAACTTACAGCACATTCGGAATAATAATGCTTCCTTTCGGGATGTGATACCCCTCATATTCATCATCCTAATGCTCACATGTTAGCATGCTCATCGATTTCAAGTCAGTGCTGCGCCTGACCTCTGATGATGTATGAGATAAACCCATCGGTGAAGCTGGTCGCCAACGCATAACCTATGAGCCGTTAACAGTCGTATATCCGAGAGTTAGAAAGGCATGACCATCAACCTCCTTGACAATTGCCCTGATGTAAGGTAAACTCTTCATATCCTCGTGTGTCGGAACCCTTGCGCGTCCCACGACTAGGTCTAGTTCATCTTGTGCCTTCTTTTGAGCCTCAGGGTATGCGATCATAGCTCGTACAAGCCATCCCATGGTGATAGCACTCTATCAGGGACAGTGTAAGTAACTACCAATGATGTTTCATCAGTGAATATCTCACAGTATCATATCCAGCCGTGCTTAGGCGTTGTCAGGACCCGATAAGCATCAAAACAAGGGGAAAATCACATACTACATTACAGCAGCCAACCATGCACATTCAATATCATTTAGTCCATGTTTGTGCTGGCTCCCTAGTATCGAAGCACAAAAGCTGGGTCCGGTGTTATGTTTCTCTGCCTGTACACAGCAAAACTTCATAGTCGAACTGGTGAAAAGAAAGTAGGACACGAACCTCTTTCTCTTTGACTTCCAGGAACATACTCAAGTATCTCTCGGAGTACGCGCGAAACATCTCTTGACTATCCCTCTTCCATTTCGCCATATAATTCGGCAGCGCCTCTAGAAAAGGAAGATGGTTGACGAGATATCTTCCGGGAACCATGGAGTTGGCTATAGCATGTACGATCTCATCCAGTGATGAGATGATAGGATCACGGTGGGACTCCAAGGATGATTTGTTGTAGATTATGGAGACCATAGATGAAGCTGTGAACCTTTTGACATGATGTTCAGCGGATAGAGGTTTGGTGATATCTATGAAAACGTACCGATGGATATGGTCATCGCACAAGGCTGGGTCATTAAGCATGTCTCCAGCTAGCCTAATGGCTTCGCCTAATTGGATCCTGTTATAACGAGAACTGACTCGCACATTGATAGCCTCGTGGGAGGCACGACGCATTGAGCGCCACCTGTAATAAACACGCGGAGCGTCAGGTTTTCTGCACACGTCGAGAATTGAATGTCATTCACATAGCTCCAACATTCATCAAAGAGACAAATAAGCCTCCGGTGATATAGTCTGCAACTACCAACCGTGAACGCCCCGAATAATTGGAGGCACGCCGACACAGAAGATCACCAGCGACTCTTGCAGAGTTGAGTAGGATGACATCTTGGTTGAACAATCGAAAATAGACGATTTCACCTGTGAAATTGCACGCCTAAGCACTCACTAACATGGTCTTCGGTAAAGATTACGCACCATATTTTCTCTTCCATTCGACAAAGGTGTGCCATGGGCGGTTCTGGTCGAGCTGAAGGGCATTCCCTACCAATGGATATCCCTTGGGACCTGGGGGAAGTCTGCTGACCTTCAAGCCCTTGAAGTAGAGAAGACCCACAGTGAACGTGAGTGCAAGTCCTAGGATAAAGATGTTGTTCATGTTGGGGCTGACACTCGGGAAAATTCCTTGTGCCTTTATACTATCGTTTTGAGGCTGTTGAATAATCTTGCTATCACCTAGGTTCATGTGTTCTTCTAGATATCGGGATAACGCACTCCCGTCACGGCCAGTAGGCCCCGCAGTATGGCTAAGAGAAAGAATGGTCAACGGAGAAATCGGTAACCCAAAAAACAACGCACGCTGACTCTTTAATGGCACTTTTCAACCGATCTTAAGGCTTTCTAGCCTGTAAATGCTATCTACTTTGCTTTGTTGATTCTGATTGCCAAGAATGCATGCCACTTTGGCTTCAAAGGTGACTGGGGAGTTCCGATAAGTGCAATGGAGAAGAGATCACTGTCATTCCGGTACTTCAAGACGTAGGTAAAGTAGCCAACGTGCGCCACACCCACGTCACTTGGCAGTCGCATTCCGATATCAATCCTCTCTATCATCGCGGCCCGTTTTCTTACGTGCCTCGCTGAAATTGTGACCGCATGCCGTACTGACTTTACATGTGATTTGATAGAGCAACGGGAACGTCTCAGTCGCTCGTCGGGTTTCGGTTGACCGTTCAAAGTCGTGGAGCTGGCGTATATGCACCTGCGGTGAAAGAACAAGATGTCAGAGTCGGAGATACAAATCTCAGATAGTAAGGATGGCTCAAAAGAAGAAACCGTTATCAGCGGAACTTAACCTCTGCTCTACTCAATGAGGTGATTTATTTCCCTTCGAATTTCTGTTGTTGTAGGTCCACTGTATAGTTGAATTCAATCGGACTCAGGGTGTATGCTCTTAATCAGTATCTACAGGTCCAGTCTTGGGCTTTTTCACCGAGCAAGTAGGATCAAGGCAGTAAGTTCATCGAAGTGGACTCACAATCCGGTCAAAGCGGCGCCACACTCACAAAGCACGGTTGCATTCCGATAACAGCTCGGACCACCACCATGGACTTCAGTCTTAAACTGTGTAATGGACTACATCTATTGACATTTGGGTGCACGCCCTTCACAAGAGTGACCGAATATGGTGACCAGTGCTTTGAGGATACATCAAAGTATATACAAAGCTGTCAGGTTTAGTTTACTCACCGTACTGACTTTACGTGATTTGATGAAGTACAGTGTCTAATACCATTCATTGCGTGATCCCGTTTGATCGCTGCCATGGTACAATCTTGTACCACTCAAACCCAGCTCCAAACATTCTCTCATTTCTCGGCTTAGTACACATAAATGTAAACCTTTGCCAGAACGTTGATAAGCACGATATACATTCTCAGGACACCACTAGTAAGAACTTATGCCGAGAAGTGTCGGGGGAGTCAACGGATCAAAATGGCATCGACGCATTGATTCCTACCGGGCACTGTACTAACGGCAAGCACCCGAAGAGTCCCTATGCTATCACCGGCAGTCCAAAGGCACTGAATGTCATGAAAGGTCGTCGTTAAAGGCTAAATCAATAACCCTGCCCACTATACTTGCTCCGTAGAATGGTCAAGGTCAGATGTACAAAGCCAATCTCCCCCCAAATGACTCAGAATTCTACACTTAGCAAAAACTACTGTCGCCTGGACGAGCCAAAATATCTTGCATGCTTTGATCGGGCACATGGGGTGTCAGATGGTGCTCACAGATTTAGTTTCCGTGATTGAGAATGGAAGTGACATTACTAGATTTGAGGCAAAATCAAGCGAACTGTGAGTAACTATACGGGACATGTCAGTAGCTGTAGCTGTAAGGAACATGTCAGGGGATGCAGTAACGTGTACGTAGCTGTAAGGACCTGCGCAGAACGGTCCGGGTAAGTAACAGTAAGTAACGTGTAAGTAACTACTGCATGTCATTCAAA